TCATCGAAACACTCCCTCCCTCCTCCCCCTTTCCACGAAATTATTCACCGTGAAAAATCGCGAATAACCGCAATAACTCCCTTCCTCCCTCAAAAAAAAATATATATCGCACCATCATCCTTCGCTATCGCGACAAATCGAGATACGAGATCGATCGATTCTCGTTTAGAGAAAACAATTCATAGGACGAAAGATCCCTCTCTTTTCTTTCAAGATCGCAGTCGAACATTCCTTTTCTCAAAAGACGCGGAAGGCCCTCCTTCTCCTCCTCTTCCTCCTCCTCTTCCTCCTCTTCCTCGTTTCTGTTGCATAATTTCGCGTGTACGGCGTATTGTCGAATTTCATCCCGCGAGGAAACGGGCGAAAGAGAAACGGTAACGAAAAGGAATCGCTGATGCGTCGGCGATGGTTGTTCCCGGAACACCATCGTGGAACGTGACGAGCGGCTCTTAATTCACGTAACCGGAGAAGGATCGCCGAGCTCCGATAGGAACATGGAGTTTACACGGGCGGGCGGATCGGATCGCGTTTCAATTCGTCGACAGGTTGCGAATAATGCTCGCGGCCGAAATCGCACCGCGAAACTGTTCCGCGAGAGCTTTCAATTATGCAACCGCGGCCAAAGGCGAATAAAATTTCGAAACCGAAAATCCAAATCGATTGTGCGCCCGGTTTTTAATCAAAAATCGATCGAGCCGCTTTCATCGGAAAGTAATTAGACGATGAATGATTAAAAGGGCGAGAGAGAGAGAGGGAGGGGGAGAGAGAAGGGGTTGGCGATTGGGAAAATGAAACGTTTCGATCCTTTGATCTTTCGATGATTGCGGAATCGATTAAAAAAAAAAAATATATCTTGATTGCATCCTTGCGATTTGGAAGAAAAATTTTCTTGGTTCAGATTTCCTTCGTATATTATTCCCCCGGATGCCGTTTAATAAATTCTAACCGTGGCTATTTGTCAAGTCTGTCGATGGTTAATGACTAGCCGTCAGCAGGAGGGTATTTCGTCCTCTCCTCTGTCTTGGAGGGTATCGTGAGAGACGAGCAGGTGAGGGAAGAGGCGGAAGAGGGGCGAGTCGAAGCGAGACGGAGCGAAAATTTCAGAGGCTCGTACGCCGGTTGGTACCTTTCGTTCTCCAACCATTTGTCAAGGTGACAAGGCAATCTCACCCCTCCGCGCTATCACCCCTTCCACGAAACGCGAATTCGTTCGCCAGTTACGTCGATGTCATCGATCAAAGTTATTCGAAGATTGGATGTCCGCGCTGTTATTGCGACGAAATACCGTTTTTCTTCTTTTTTTTTTTTTACCTTCTTTCGCCGGCCGAATTTTTCGAGAGTTTTATATGTAT